GCAGGCCTCTTAGCACCTAGTTTATAGCCTGAGGAGTCAGGCTCTATGTGCAGATAGTGTAAATGGTTCATTGATAACAGTTTCTGGGAGATGGCATGGAAGGTTATAGAATACACAGTTCTGGGTTACACCCATCCACTGATGAACTGGTCTCAGCTGTCCTAACTAGGACGAGTGCAAAACAGGAAATTTTGTTATACTGTTTTCCAGAAGAAAAGGGACTGGACTCTTTTTATGCTATTGTTCTTGAAGCGATAAGCAAAAAACTCTCAACAACATCTGAAACCACAGAAGACTCAGTTGAGATTTGAATATGGATGAAATCTTCCAATTTTTGTGTACAACTCTTCCTAATTTTTATTCTTTCCTCTGTAAAAATTTTTGCTGACTCCATACACCTGTGAATATCTAAAGATAGATTTCTGTGGTTTAGTTTTTCTGTCTCTCTTCCATGTACCCAGAATAGTAATATGGTAAGATATTAAGCCAGAATTTCAATGGAAATTATAAAGTGCTCTCAGCTGCTGTGCAAGCACCATCACCTTTCAGTGTTTTCATAAATCTCAACTATTGCCAGTATATTCCAGCTTTTAGCATATTTTGATCCAAGAGAGACCAGAGCAATTAGGAATTGAAAAGGATAATGATATCACAGACTAATTTCAAGATAAAGTACTAAGTGAGTAATGAAGTCTTCTAGTTTATTCCCAGTAGGGAGCAAAATGAACAGTAACAGTGCAGATCCCTTTAGTATCATTCTTCTAAAGGGTCCAAAGAATGATTAAACAAAACCAGGATGAAGTTACTCTTTGCTGACTACTTCTATGGTATTTGTCTTGGGGTGCATGCCTTCTGATGCATCCAGAAAGGCTGCTGAGATTCTCTGGTTCAATGCTTTTGTTTATCTGTATTAAAACATATTTTTTTATCTATATTTGTTTATCTATATTAAAACAATTGTTCATTAATTATTATTCTATATTAAAACAATTGTTTATGGCTTACATGACTAATTTTTTGAGAGGCTACAGAAAATGTCACATGTAAACAAAAATGTCTGTAGCAGAAGCAACATTAAGCTTTGAAGTTCTAATATTTAAATGTTCTCCCTCTTAAGCTAAACAAGATCTTGAACAGTATTAAATTCTAGACATAAGCATCAAATTCTAAGCATGCTGGGCTGTTTACGTTCAAGAAATGCCACTGGAATAATTTCTATAAATATATCAGGATGGAATTATTGGTCTCTTGAGCAAGAATTCTCAGCTTTTTCTTCAAGCTGTGGACAACAGTTCCTTGTCTACCAAGACATTCATCACCATTTCAGTTGCCTTTTCCTGAGGCTGCCTCCTCTACCCACAACAACTGTATGCTCCAACAGTCACTTACAGATCAAGAACATTCTAAGAAAGTGGGTTTTTTATATTTTTAGTTTCTGCTTATGCACTTTAGCAGCTGGAAAACAGAGAGAAGAGCCAACACTATGAGACTAGCCAGCTCTCCCTATAAGTAATCAGCAAGACCTCTGGAAAGTATCAATGGTTTGCAGATTTTGGAAACTCCTATAAAGAGATCTAAGTTCACAGCCACAGTGTATCACAATTTTTTAGACTTGTTAGTGAGTAGAAATGCCTTCATCAGCATTTATAAGGACAGGATTTTAGTCTAAATTTCCATCAGACACCTGGACCAAGATTTTTTGAACTAGAAAGCCCCAAAGCCTTTTTTTTTTTTAGGTGTTAAGGCTGTGTTAATTAATGATTATAAAGAAAAAATCTGTATACACTCATACTATTGATTTACCAAGGTCATAGGTTTGATCCCTGTATGGGCCAAAAATGTAAGAGTTGAACTTGATCCTTGTAGGTTTCTTCCAACTCAGAATATTCTGTGAAACCTATTTAATATAGCATTGTATTTAATACAGCGTTACTAGTAGCCATAGCACCTCAGAAGCTTGCACAAAATAAGGGAGTTATCCTGTCACAGCATGCCTGGGAGACACATAAACTTGTCTTCTTGCCTTTCTTTCCATTAGTCACACTGCCTGCAGGCCTCCTTGCAAGAATCTTCAGGCCTCCTTGTTCTTAGCAGAGGAGCCATTTTTCAGAATACCTGCTGTTAATCCTGTGCCATTTTAATCTCTGCAGACAGGTGATTTCCTCCAGATTGAGGGGGCTTGAGGAGAGGAGTTGTATATACAGGGAATAGAGTCATTTCCCCTTTTCTCAATTGCAGCCCTAGAGATGGTTCTTAGCGAACCTTCGACTAAGGTTCTTAGTCTTCCCGTCTGCATCAATCAATCTCCTTTCATCTCTGCTTCACAGGCTGATTCTCACCTACAGTATGATCATCTTGTAATCCATGGAGTGAAATACATGCCCAAGGTTGCTTTAAATTAGCTCCACTCTGGTAGGAAGGTTACCATAGTGCTATGAATTACCACACAGATGAATTCAAGAAGTATTCACACAATCAGATTACTTTTATAAGTAATTGTCATGGGTTTACTTGTTCTAAAAAACCAAATGGGAATTTTCTTTCCCCTGCCGCAATGGGGGGAGGGATGTTGAATGTGGAGGACAGTTTTTTTGCCTTGGTGATTGACCTACACAAAGGAGCTGGCTGGAAGAACTACATTCCAGCCTGACGGCCCTCTCTAAGGCTAGGGTGTGTGTAGGGGGGGCTGGGGGGAGGAGTTTTTCTCCCCTCCTGTCCTTGGAAAGGAGTATTTCACTTTTTGCCTTGATGGAGGCAAGGTGTGTGCTGGAAAAGCTCTGAGGCCGTTTTGCTCTCGACCTGGTCATCTGGCTGTTCTCTGGCCTTGGCTTGCCTACGGTCTGCTCTGTCCCCAGCCGGACCTGCTCAGATTCCATCGGAGAGCTTGTGCTCAGCGAGGAAAGGGGGGAGTCCCAACCACAGCCAGCCACAGACATCGTGAGTTTCATGGGAAAGAAACTGTCCTCCTTTCCCCTTTTTCCCCTCCCCCTCCTCGGTGTGCAGGGGAAAATCTCCATTTTTGGCTTCTCCTGCTCCAGGGCCTCATGCAGCAACTGCCAGAGCCCAACAGCGCCCCTTGCCGACCAACACTGAGCAACTGCAGGCTCTGCTCCTCCAGTGATCCAACAGCGCCCCCTGCCGACTGTGATTAGAATCGCGCTAGAGGACAGAGAAGTATCAGACTGTTTCCTTTTGAAGGCGACTTTTGGGTACAGGATTATTGTTTAGTTGGTTTTGTGTTCTTTTGTGCTTTTGCCAATATCCATATATTCTTTAATAAAGGGTTGTTATTTCTTCCTTTTTCCATACTTCCTTAATTTCAGATTTACGATTGCTGAGAGAGAGGATGTTAGTCTACCTCATAACTCATCCTCTTTAGCAAAACACTTCAGTCTCTTTAAACTGAAACAGTAATTCACATAAATACTACATAAGTGTGTTTCATTTTTTCTTAACCACTGAGTATTTATTTTCCATGTCAGAATCACTGGCTGATCAATCTTCTACCATTCACTCTCAGCTCCAGTGACACTGCACCTATCAATTACCACAAGAGTTCCACCTACAAAGTTATTTTCAAACACTTATATAATATTTGTGTGTTATTTCCAGCAATAAAGATAATTTAACAAAGTCAGTGTTGCAATATCCTCATAAGCAATTCATGTAATGCTTTGGTGAAAAGTGTCAGCCTATTTGGCTCTGCTTGTCACAGACTCAAAATCCTGATCATCCAACCAAACTTATTTCTGACCTTGTTCTTCTTTTGTTCTGGACGTATTTGATGCCATCTTTGATTTTTAATGTGAACCTTTTTTGCCTACCAAAAATCCACTATTGTTCATAAAGACATACCTCTGTGTAGCCTGCTGTATTATAAACATACATACACCTATCCATATACACTCCAAACAATATCTACCACCTGGATACCTGAGTGTTTTAAATAGTCCAAAATTATAAACCAATGTATTTCAAATCTGCTGCAGTATTACAAGAGTGTAAATACACCTGTGTACAGCTGGGAAAAAAGACAACATGTATACAGTACATCTTGAAGACTTGACAGACCCCATTTAAACAAACCCCAAGAACCTCATGACACCTATTTTCTATTGTAGAGGGCACAGATGTGAATTTCTGCAAACAAAGATCTGGTATTTTTAGGGTCATAATTGTGGAAGCTGCCTGAGGCTAGGGAGGAACAGGTTCTGCAAAATCTGTTCTGAGAGAGGAGGTTGGAAAAATCTCCTTAAACTTCACAAAACTCTGGGTATTAGGCCAATCCACAAACTGCTTGAAGAACCTGAATAGGCAAGCAGTCTGAAGTTTGAAGTTACTGCTGCTTTGTACTTCCTGGTCAATATGACTGTAAGCACCCTGCAGTCTAAGAAAGAGCATGCTTGAGGCACAGTGTGCCTCCAGATTGAAAGACCATAGAGTGTGGGGGTACAACTTAAAATTCCTTTTTTTTTGTATTGCTAATGTTATTTAAAAGGCTCTGGGCAACATACTAGACTATACAATCACTCCCACATGTGTATTTATTTTGCTTTTGCCATGGATTCCTCCAAATCCATTAAGTGATGTCCAGGCCAAAGAACCCTGGCCCTGGTATCATCACCTGTGATAATGACAGTGACATGGCTGCACAGATTTGCTGCACCATACAAGCAGCAGAGTTTTACTTACTCACATCACCTCCACTCACTTCATGTCAGCGAAGAGAAGCCCCAGGGCAGCAACATGGATCTGCTGAGCCCAGACAGCTGAGTCTGTGGTAGTGCAACCTAGGGAGCCATCTCAGGCTCTCATCTGCGTGTTTTACTCCTGCACTTCAGGAGTCACTTCAGAAAAGCCCAGATCTAAGCATCCCTGTCCCCAGAGGTCTCAGATTCATGGGGAACTTAAAGATTTGTTTCTCAATTTCATCAATGATCACATCTCTTAAATCTGGAAAAAAACCCCATGTGCCTGGTGATACTACATAAGAAGCCTACCTTGGGGGGCAGGGGTCCACACTACAGGCTTTCAGCAGCTGTGGAGGACGGCGGCTGGTTACACACAGTGTCTCATCTGCAGTCTCCCTGGTTTGTTTGTTCAGACAGGTCACCACAGCCTCCTGGACACCTGCACACAACAAAGCATGGTCACAGCCAGCTCTCCACACCTGCAGGGGCAGCCGAGGACAGAGGTCGGTCCAATAGGGCCAGCAGGGCTGCAGTGTGTGGGGAAAGTGATCCTCACACCCAGCATTGGCAGCTCTTGGGCTGCAGCCCCAGCTGTAGACTTGTTACTGCTTTTAGTGTCTCTGAAAGGTTTCTCAATTGCAGTGAAAATTCCATGAGTTCATTCACCACTTACCTTCTCTGGACAGAAAATTGTCTAGTGCTCTCTAGTGACTTATTTTTTCCCTAAGAGTGCGATGAGGCACTTTATTTGTCAGTACAAGTAGGCTAACGTGTGAAGATGGCCTTGGCTTCACTATGCTTATTTTAGGCAACAGTATGATTGCTTTAAGTGCAAAAGTAAAGTAAAACATGGCCAGACAATTCAGCAGTTCTCAGTTATTTTTCTTCATCCACGGACCTGCACCTAAACCTAAAGACGCAAACCCGCAGGATGTATCTGAGAGCTAGAAAAGAACAAAGGTAGCTGTTGGGACTAAGAGAGAAACTGGAAGATTTAGTGATTACATTTTAACTCAGGAATTCCTTGGTAATTCCAAATTCCTTAGGTACTCTTTGGCATACTAGTTACTCTGTTTCACTTTTCCTATGAGTAGGAATATTACAGGGTTTTTTTTAATCACAAGGTTAGAAAGGTAGAAAATCAGGGATTGCAACATAACATGCCATAGGGAAGAGGTCTTGGTGAGAGAGGATCTACTTCCCCTGGGGAAAGTGGGATCTGTGGGGATCTAATCCAGAGGGGTTCAAACAAAGTGAAGGTATGCTTTTTACATTCATTCCTGCTTCCTGAGTTAGGAAAATATTAGCTGAACTCATAACAATTACTTTATCTTCTCAAACCCAAGAATTAGTTTTCCGAAACATCTCACAATTTTTTTAAGACACAAAAAAAAGGAGTTCTGTAAGAGCTTGAACAGTTCCAAGAGCAGTGTCACAGAGCTGACAATACCTTTTGCTGTTTCTAATGCCAGCACACATGTCATTAGACAAACAATGATATCATATTATTCAATAGAACCAAAGTGCTGCAGCTGACCATAGTTCCTATGCTCCTGAAATTACTCATGGATTCACTCCCTTTAATCTCAGTACAGGCTGAGGTCCACAGAAAAGTGGCATGTTAGGCAATTTTTTTGGCTCCTGTGTGTGTAAACCTATTTAGCTCATGTCTCTGACAAAGGCTAGGCAGTGTCTCCACTGCATCTGAGGTACTAAAGAAAAGAAAGAAGTTTGATATTTTGGACATGGACATCAACATCAAAATTACCAAAGTCCCTGCAGTCAACCAATACTGTTGTGAGTTTCCTTCCTTACAAGGTTACCCCATATTTTCAAGCTGTTTTGCTACTCCAGTCATCACCCAAAAGACTTGAGAAAAATTGTAAAAAGGATACGCTATTAAAATAATACAGCAAATGGTAGTGATTTATTTGTATGAAAAGATATAAATGAAATTTATATATATGAACAAGATGGTCACTACTCTGTCATGTTCATTATCTTTCCAGCTCAATCATTTTTCTGTGAGTATGTTATAATATTGTGCAAACAGAGGCATATGGATTCTCCAGAATAGACTTGTCCTGGCTGTAAGAACAGATGTCATTCTCTATCTGATGGGAAACGGCACCATGTCCAAATTACTGGTCTCTATTTTGCATGGAATATTTGTGCAGGCCTGACAGCAAGACTAATCTGATGAAACCAGGAGAGAAGGACTGCTGATCCAGAGGTATGGAAACTATGAAAGTGCTTTTCTAATTTCTGGGGAAAGAAACCACCCAGTCCTGACACATGCCAGTAACATTATTCTGTTTGCTAGGTATACAGCTCACTCATCTTCTGTATTTTCTTCTCACACCAAAATTTTGTTAACTGAGTGTAGTTCCACATCTTCAATTTCTCCTCCCTGAAGCATGTCACTAACAAGGTCTTGATAAATTATTATCAATTATCTTAACAATTTTCCATTGTCTGTTTCAATGCTGACTACTGAAAAGTGACTGAATGTGACTGAATTCAACATTTTCTCTCTTAGGCTGATGGTTTTGTTTTATCAAATTCATATAGCCAAACTCTGATACTACTGCTCTTCACTTTGCAGTATTCAACCAGCCCTAAACCTCCCAGTAAGTTCATTCCCCATGCTTATATCTGTCATTTAAGTCATCTCTGATTGTAATTCCAATAATTTTTGTCTATACTACAAGCATTCTACCCCGCTCCTTAAAATTTCCTTTTACCTTTGAAAGGTACTGGTAGGACCAGCAAACTTGCCTGACAGCATAGGCATGAAAGAAAAAGGTTCTTGTGTGAATGTGGTGGCTAGAGTATGTATTGACAGTTTTTGGTTCAAACAGCTTGTGCCAGGAACTGGAGTGGAAAAAAAAATAAAAAAATCTGGTTGACTCCAGTAGCAAAAAATCTGCTCAGAATCACTTTCTTCAGCTTCCTCTTGAATCTCACACTGAGTGTGTCTCAGCATATTGATAACAACTGTCCCTCTATTCGAACAGTCAATGTAGCAAATGGTTATAAGCTTTAAACAAACATTGAGAGAATATAAAAACCTTTGATTATACATTAGAAGTTCCACAGTATTATCTCCATAGAGATATTTAAAAAGGTAAATGAACTTCAGGAAGTTCATTTACCAAGTAACTGAATTTGAGACATTATTTACTGCACAATATTATCAGAACAGCTATCTCTTTAAAATAGTTTTCCCTGAAAAAAAGAAATCAGTTGTCAAAAGGAAATCACAGTATAAAAGTGTATAATCTAGGTAGTTTCTCTTTCAAAATACCATCAAATGAGAATTTCTATGTGTATATCTACCAGAATAGAATAACTGTTATATGATATTTGATGACAGCTCTAGGAAATGAAGCCACTAACAGCAGACTAAATGACTAACTCATTCCCTTGGTTTGCTGCTTCTAGGAGGTGAAAGGTTAGTTCTGCAGCTATCGTATTTCATCTCCCTGACTCCAAAAGCAATAAAATTAATTTGACCAGTTTTGCACCTATGGCTACAAAAATACCTGACTTAGCATCTGTTAATCTGGAAAGTTTGGAGTTGATGTTAGACAAAAAGAAATCTCGGATGAAAATTTTTGCTGACAATTGGAAGAGATTAAATTTATTAAGAAAAATATCTCTCTCAAATCAGTGTCTGTGAGTTACATTTGAAAAATACACACACAATCTCTATAATCAAAGAAATTACTTCATGTAAAGAAGATATTTCTAGGAACTATTCAGGTTTGGATAGTCACGGTAAAAGTGTGACAAATTGTTACTTCTCACTAGTAATTTCAATATATAACATATACTCCTGTAAAATCAGTGTTTGTCACCATCTAGTATACATGTTTTTTGTGTAAGAAACAAAGCAAAAGTGTCAGTGGTCTGACAGCTCTCTGTGAACTGCTGCAAACATTGACTACCATTAACAAACTAAAAGTAAACACAGAAAACCTTTGCAATATTTTCTACTAATTGTGTTTTTCAAGATTGTAACTGATTCCCAGTGAATCTGTACAGATCACACTATTAGCCACTAATAAAACACTGACTTGTTTTCAGTTCTACAGTACATATTCTGTATTTATGTATAGTACACCTTTCTCAAATAGCCCAAAACTTGTAATATAAAAAGATAGCAGATGGAAAAATTTAGGTTAAACTTAAAAAAATATTGGAGTGAACATATTTCTGAGAATTAGAGAGACAAAATCATGGGGAAAAAAGGATATCAGAGAAGAGTGTGTTAATATAGTCTATAACATATGGAACCTGAGACCTTGATTGATTTTGAGAAACTCAAAGTGTCAAGCCTGCTACTTTCAGACTATCATACCATTAGTGCCTTTTTTGCCATATGTTTCCCTTTGCACTGTGATTTGAACTGATGTCACTTAGTGATAGGAGTTAGGGGACAGCTGAGCCCTTAAAAGATCAATAATTTCTTTCATCTGCTATAGGAGGACAATTTATTTCCATATGTTTGTACTCGCACAGAAGAACTCAAGAGATAAAAAATAAAAATGACATGTGATTGTTAGTCTGCATCACCAGACCCCTTTAACATTCAGCTTTTCTGGGTGAGTGCCTTTTGAGAGATCAGCTGATACAGGAAACATTGATCATTCCTGGTGACAGTCTGAGCCCAAAAGGGCCCAAAAGTCCTGGGCTGAAATATGTTGTGTGTATGGGGTTTTTTACAGTTTTTATCCATGCCTTTTCAAATATGGTTGAACTTGATCATCCTAAAGTCTTTTTTCCAACCTTGATGATTCTATGATTCTAAATAGCCATAGCAAAGCACCATGTCCGTGGGTATTAATTGCAAAGCACACACTTGAAGAGGGAAAGCAAATCCAGCATAGAAACATTTTGCACCTACCTCCTCCACAGGACTCTGAACACTCTGTAAAGCCTTCATATTCCCAGTCATAGAGCTCATCAAACTCCTGCAAGCTGCCATACGGAAACTCAGTCTCCTCTGAGGTGTACTCAGTTGCCTCCCCACTGCAGGGACCACTGTAACAGGCTCTCTGAGACACAGGTTTGGGACCTTCACATTCATCGATGGGCAAGTCAGCCACAGACTGAGAGAAAGAGAGGAGCACTTGACATTTCACAAGCCGCACCTGGCTGCCTACTCCACAGGTGACACTACAGGTGGACCAAGCCTCAGGAATAAACCTGCGAGAGGAAGAGAGCAAGGCAAGTTATGTCCACATACATTCAGGGAACCAAATGCAGTACAGCTCTGTCCAGGCAAGATTTTGTTTAATGAGGAAAAAAATGCTTCACTGCATCAGAGGGATATTATAAAATACACATAGAAGCTATGACATGCTGTTGACAACTCAGTGGCGGGTCTCCTTATATCCAAGAAAGACAAACCCTTTGAGCACCTGCTTTGATCCTAAAATATCTCAGTGCAAGGCATCCAGCAATCTCCCAAGGTGCATCATGATTCAACTAGCTACCTTTTGCAAGTATTCAACCTAGATCATCTTTAGTTGTTATCATAATTTTTTCACTAGTAAATACTGAACAGGCTGCTGTTGTCAGGTAATTGTGGTATTACATGGAAAATAATTTCAATTATTGTTCCTGTATCACAGTAACTATTTTGAAGTCTTAATTTGAAGCTAGTAAAAGGTAAAGAATTCATAAATTCTTTAGCTGTTTTTTGTTTGTTTGTCTGTTTTATTTCCCTAGGACACTTAATTTTCCTCTCATTCCACTCCTATTGTGGATTTCTTTGGTTTCTCTCACTGATTAGTAATCCTTACATGCTCCGAAGTTTTGCTTCTGAAAGTCTCTATATACTTTAGTATAATCACCCTGCCGCTGTCATTACAATAAACAAACAGACTGAATTCCATTTTTTGTTGTTTTCTTCAATAATGGAATAATTTCTTAATTTTTCTGTGTTGTCATTGCTTTTTCAATGTCAGTGCTGAAAATTGACCTAGCATTTTGCTCAAAGTTACATCAAACATGAGATTCACATTCAACTCTATATCACATCATTACTACCTCATTGCAGTAATGCAACACGCTGTGTTTTGCTAAGCTCATGCTGAACACTGCTGATTCCTAAATCTATCTGGAAAATGTAGTTTCTGGGCACTCCACAACCTGCATTTATTCTTAGATACCTGATGTTAGTGGTATGAGAGCACTAAAATAATGAATACAGGGTAATTCAGATAGCTTTATCTGACTGTCTTGCCTTCTCCATTGGCCATTCTTCCAAACTTTCTGACCTGGGCAAATTCTAAGACAGCGGTTGTAGTCACACTTTAAGGGTTAGAATAGAAAAGCAAATAGTTGAATCTGGCACTGATTCTCACCAAACCTTACAGGAACAATCCCTGTTGATATTGCTTTCCCTTTAGCAGTTAAGTGCTAGCTCCTGCAAATTCAGTAAGTTGTTTTCTTCACCGATATTTTTTAGTACTAATCTAATGAACCAAAAGCTTTTTCTGCTAGGGTCTACTGTCTGACAGAAAACATATACATTAGCTAAATTAATCAAATAAATCACAGGGGATGTATTTTCAATTGAAATCTTGCTATCACTGACAGTATTCCTCTCCCTTTGGGCTTTATTTCAGTAAACCACACCAGACTTTGACAGGTTTGCCTACAGCTGAAGGCAATACACATCTGTCTCTTCTATGATCTGAGCTACTTGTGGCTATAGGAAACTCATTTCTCACCTTGGGATCCCACAAACAGCTTGACAGGAAGAAAAAAAAAATTTAGTTTTGTGATCAGCATCTTTGGAAGTAATTTTACACACTTCTCTTTTTCATTCACTGCCTTTCTTTAATTGACAAAAGGACTTACCCTTTACTCTGAAGTTAAAAAAAAATCCCAAACCTAAAATGGTACTTGGTGCTTTCCCAGCACACATATACCAGGACCCCTGACTGGAACAGCACAGTCTGCTTCAGTAGAGAGTGTGCATCTATCTCTTTACTCACTTTTTGTGTGTCTTTATAACATCTTGTTACAACCCTGACATTCACTCCTAGAACTATACACAGGAAGCAATAGAAAGGAAAGAAATAAACTGTAGATATTATTGTAACTTTTAAAATTATTTTTCATGCTGCTACAAAGACTGCAAATTTTTTTTCACAAGCAAAGCCTTTGAGAAACTAATGATGCAAAGTGATTCCCGTTTTCTCCTCTTGAGACATTTTCAGTCTTATTTCAAAGATGAAACAAGAAAGGATTTTGAAAGGATTATATTCTTTAAGAGTATAGGTGGGCCACTCATCTTGCTTTCTCTAAAACTGTGCAACTGCTCTCTGATGTGGAAAATCTCCTGTCAGAGATTAAATGGCTCATCCCAGCCACTGTGACAGATATTTTGATTAGTTAAAATACATAGCTTCTCAACCTGACTGACTAAGAGGTAGAAATCCTAATCAAGATATAAAAAACCAAAAAAAAGCCCTCGTTTTCATCAGTCTTCATCAGAAGCTGTCTTCCTTATATTTTTGAACATTGTGAATTGTTGTCTAACTGTGCTTTGTTGAAGACCTGTTGTATTCCAAACAAAGAGGTATTTTTAATACCTTTGCAAGGTATTAAAATTACTCATTTAGAAAACCAGAGATACCTCAAATACTCAGAATATTTACACATGACACATATCACATATACAAACAAAGGAACAAAAAAGAGAGGACACAAAAGGAAAGTAAGAACATCGCTAAAAGTAGTCTGGATCCTTGTTGAAATGAGGCTTGATCTATAAATGTCACACGTTGTATTATTTCACCCTAGTCAGCAACTCATAATGAAAATGCGAATACCTTCAGGAAATATTTTATTCAGCTATCTAGGCTCAGTTTCTACATTTCAAGTGATAATTTTGGAAACATAATTTCATTTGAATATAACTGTTGGGTGTTAAAGACAGAATTGTTAAAATCAAGAGAGTTAAAAGCAGAGAAAAAGAGGGGAAACTCAAGAAAACCCCACAAAAAAAAAATCTCCATATAGTACTTGTCATTAGAAATGGAATATTTATGTAATGCAAACGAATAATATAAATATACAATGTTTCTGAATTTTCCATCGTCCTAAACCCAGGAAATTACAAAAGCTTTCAAGTATCTTTGTGTTGTCATTAATGATAAACGTTGCCAAATGGTGAGCACAAACCACAAAAAGTATGTGAATAAGAAGGGGACAGTTCCATGGATTTAGAGTTATTTGTTCCACATATAGCTCATCATCCACTGCACAGCACTGTGCATTTCTGTATGCTAACCCCTACTTGGAAAATGGAAGTAGTGGAACAAATTTAATGAGAAGTAGTTTTTTAGAAAATGGGAAATGATGGAGGTGTTTCATTTGTCATTACATACTGTTTCATTAAATCCCACTGTAATAATCGTCTGTATAATAATATCCCTAGTAAATTTGACAAAGACAATAACTCGTTGTAGTAATGTGACAGTAGTAGTTAGTTGTCAGGCAGAATCCAATTGTGTTAACAGCTGTACAAACGAAAAATAAAAAGGTGCCTCTTTCCTCAGAGATATATTGAGTATTTCCTATCTCTTGCCATACATCACAGTGTTGCCATTGAATCAAAGATCATCTTCTTTTATTACTCAGAGCAGAAATGGCAACATGCTTCTCCCATAAAGAAAAAATACGGAAGCAAGTGTGTTCTGAGAGCTCTGATGAATATTTTACAGAGGAATCTGTTGCTCCTGTTTTAGAGAGATCAGTGCGAGGTAGAGAAGTGAAAGCTGAGAGGAGGGAAAATCATGACCTTGCTTGGTTATGACTGACTTGATCATGTCTGCTGTTACTCAACTGCTGGAACACTGACTACATTATGGCACCCAGACGTGGAATGGCTGAATGGCCCCTCTGCCTGTCACCCCCTGCCTACATGGGCATCTCCATGGGTGGCAGTGCTCTCAGCCTGGAGAAGGTAGAGAGTTGGAATAGAAGGTGGAAAACTCTCTAAAGAAAATTAGGTGTGAAAAATTGGTGTTGCTTGTACACAAATGCCTGTACTTGTTTCTTTGGCCTGTGGGCATTCTACAGTGATGGACCAGCAACCTATTCCCATGATATGAACCCTCTTGAAAAATAGTGAGTTCTGGATTTAAAAGAGGCATTCTATATATTTCAGTGGTTTCTTGTTAGCTGTTGAGGTTTCAGAATCTATACAAGATTGTGTTCAGCTGAAGGGACTGTGGCACCATTTGTCATATTCACATTAGCCTCTGATGGGCTGCATAATGTGTTCTAGAAATATGAAGAAAGGAAATGTAATGACACTGATATCAATGGACTCCTGCAGGTGTTGTGTTGAGCTGGTTTTGGCTCATTGCTTTTCTAGTATGCTACAATCACTGTATATTTTAAGGAAATTTTAATATGATAGCAAAACCAACTTATTATCTTTGTATGTAAAGCATTCAATACAAAATATGGAGACTGCGAAACACACAACAGTCCAGCCTTCAGGCTGCACATCCAACAGACCTGCAAGTATAAATGAATAAAAGTTGTCTACAGAATTTCACCCACACAAGAACACTGGGTACATACTGCTTGCCAAGCTCAATTTTGCAAGGACTATTCACACTTTTATAAACTATTATTCATGTTCACATGAATGCCCCTTTCAGATAACACTGTGTCTAGTGTTAAAAAAACCTTTACATTATATAATTGGAATTTATTTTACAGTATTTATTTAAAAATCCAGATTTTGCAGACTAAAATGTGCTATGCAATTATCACTTGTATACAGAATCAGCAAAAGTAATGTCAACATTTAAGCTGAGAACAGCAATGAGAATGGCAGTACATAGTCTCAAGGCAATGATATTTTTTCCTTCAAATTCTGGGCACAGCTAAGGACTGGTGTATATTCCCCTCAATATAGCAACATATGTTCCTCCAATGTGTGTTATGAAGAAAAAGAAGTATCTATAGACTGATGTGGTTTGACCTATGGTGAAAAATAGCTCATTTTCTTCACTGCTACATAATTACATATTGCCATAATTTTTGTTGTTTAATGGTTTTTTGCGTGGCTTGCCCCTTTTTTTTTTTTTAATCCATCTCTGGGTAAATCCATGGCTTAGATAAAGTCTGAGGTTTAAAGAGATGCACAAACCAGTAAGACTGAGTATTCCAGGGCA